AGTGCGTCCCTGAGGTCCTACCTTCGCACCTCCGGCATGGGTCACAGGCCTCTTGCCCGCCGGAGCTGGAGAAACTGTCGGAGGGACAGGGGAGGCACGGTGTGCTCCTGTTTTTCCCGCAGAAAGTACCTAAGGAGGGCAGAGCACAGCTGTTGGTGTTTGACAGTGGATTACTGTCACCTGAAGCGTCGTAACATTCACAAATCAACTCGAATATGAAACAATAATTAGTTTTCTAGGCGCCGCAGTGATAGACTTTATTTTGCTGATGCACTTTTTTGAAGTATGCATTTGCACCCTGGCCGGGTGGCTCAGTGGGTTGGAGCATCGTTCCACACACCAGAAAGGTTGTGGGTTCAATTCCCGGTCAGGGCACGAAAGAGAGGCAACCAGCTGATGTTTCTCTCTCACATCAACGTTTCTCTCCCTCTCCCCCCCACCCAACTCAAGAAAACCTATCCTCTGCTGAGGATTAAAAAACTCTTTTAAAAAGTATACATTTGCAAGATTGCCCTCAACACAATCCCAGAAATAAGAAGAACAAAGTATAGATATTGCAATAAATAAGTCAACAGAGAGAAAATAGTTTCTCTATCAACACAGAATGACTACTCTTGATGGACCCAGGAGATCAGTACGATGGGATTCAGGAGGAGATCAGTGTCTTTCATTGGTCCCCGTGCCTGCCTTTCCCACACTGCCCCCCCCCCCGCCTCCTGGGGTGTCACAGTTTGAGCACAGGTCCTCACACACGCAGCCAGCAGTCCCTGAGGCCCTGCCGTGCGCCTGCACTGTTGTAAGCCCATCGTATGATCCCCCCAGTGACTCTATGAACTAGGTTCTCTCATCCCTAGAAGACAAAGCTGGGGCACAAGAGTTAAGTGACACGGTTTTGTTCACATGGCCGAGATGTCACACCCAGGAAATATTTGTAAGTGAATAGTAACAGGTTACAGAAACAACTCACTGGCCCTGACTGCTAGACTAACCACGTTTTCAACAGAACAGATCAGACACACATGCTACTTAGGTTCTCACCAGCTGGACAGTTCCTGCAGGAGGCCTGCATTGACCTTGTCCTCTCGACATTCATGACCAGCAGCACCGCAGCCACCAGCTTGTAATACCTATTTCCCATGATGAAGTCTGGCGCGGATATGATACAGCAAAGTAGATCCCAAAAGACTTTTAGCCAAAGTGGCTGTTTCACAGATACTGCTCTGCACAAGGTAGAAATGGACAAGAATGAGGTGGTTTCTCCTTTCAGACTTCATTTACATTTCAGATGCATTCCAGCCATCAGGACACATTCAGATGCATTCCAGCCATCAGGACACATTCAGATACATTCCAGCCATCAGGACACATTCAGATACATTCCAGCCATCAGGATACATTCAGATACATTCCAGCCATCAGGACACATTCAGGTACATTCCAGCCATCAGGACACATTCAGATACATTCCAGCCATCAGGACACATTCAGATACATTCCAGCCATCAGGACACATTCAGATACATTCCAGCCATCAGGACACATTCAGATACATTCCAGCCATCAGGACACATTCAGATACATTCCAGCCGTCACGACACATTCTGATACATTCCAGCCATCAGGACACATTCAGATACATTCCAGCCATGGCTCCACAATTCCACACCATAACTCAGGGTGTTTCAGGAGCAATCGGTAAAGGGAAGGTAGCCAGTGCACAGAAACTTCTATGACAGGACGAGCGCACGTAGACACACAGCTGTGTGCATGCCTGGCAAAGCCTGAGGGGCACGCTCCAAAAAGTGTTGCCAAAATACAGAAGTAACAATAGCAAGAACTTTTGGGGACTTTCATGGACACTTAGCATTAGCACCCAGATTTCAACAACACCAGTTGCTTGCTGCCCCTGGAATATGACCCTTAAAAAGAGACTCTGGCAGGGACATCTATTGATTCAGCTCGCTGAAAAGGTATCTATCTCATTATTTCCATTTGTCTGAACACATGGGGAAATTTCAAGAACTAATTGCTACAAAGTTAGAAACCTCTCTGGCTCAGCTCATTGTCACATTAACACTTCTAAAAATGTTTCAATTACAGTTGGCATTCAATGTTATATTAGTTTCAGGTGTACAACATAGTGGTTGGACATTCATGTAAATCACAAAGTGATCCCCCCCCCCATAAATTTGGTACCCACCTGACACCACACATAGTTATTATAATATTATTGACTATATTCCCTGCGCTGTACACATTTTCTGGATAGACGCATTTGCCCATTTTGAGACTTGAAGCTCATATAGGAACAAATCTGAGGAGTAGAAAGGAAAACCTCTAGAGATTTTTATTTGATCTTTACTTTATGGGCTATAGAAGAGATGTGATTAGCAGTTAGAAGAGAGGAAAGTTAGAAATGTACAGAGAAAGCCTCCGTTCTCACCCCAGCTGGAGCCCCGCTGTCTGCCCCAAATGGACCAACCTTGAGATGCGGGCTGGTGCGGGTGAGGAACTTTCCACGGCCTGATCTTTGGAGCTGGTGTTCTGCTCTGGGGGAAGCCAGCAGGTTCGCAAGCGCACCTCCCCTGAGTGACTCAGCCGGGGGCCGGGCTTCGTGGGAAATCCCCACCGCGGCCTGCGAGGGCGCGCGTCTGATATCTGCTGACCCCAAAACCCAACTTTCTGCACTTCACCAGCATCTCACACACTTCTTGGAAGCAGCTCGCTGCTGTTTGGACATTTCTCAAGATGGCTTTGGGAAAGGGATCTTGTCACTTGGTGTAGCTCTTAAAATATTTGCGGTTGGAGGGATGAAACCACGTTCAGAACGGGCCCTCGTCCGGCCCGCTGCTCGCTCGCTCGCTCTAGTAGGGGCGCTGGGGGGCTGGAGCTGAGCGCAGCTGACTGCGGGCATCGGGTCAGCGCTCTGAGGCCCCCCTTCCTCAGAAGGGACCAGAGCCAGCAGTCCTGATGTTGTCGTTGGGACATTACGCAAATGGGAACCCTGAGGCTGTGCGTCTGGCCACACAGTCGGCGGGCTGGGGAGTGGGGATGAGCACCCAGGGGGGCGACTCCTTCACACTGTGCCCCCTGCTGTGTGGGTGAGCCGAGGGCGCAGGGAGACCCCGAGGGACGAGGGACGTGGCGACCGCGGAATTTCTGTGACCTGGTAGGATCTATGGAGGAAGAAGAAGAGGGGACGGAGGAGGAGCAGGTGGCCTCAGAGATGCTCAGCTGAACTGTCCGGTGTCAGGTGTCCCCAGGAAGACAACCAGAACTCATGGCAGGAGTGGTTGAACCAGAACAGATGGGCTTTCCCTTGAATCTAAACAGAAAACAGCCCCCCACCCCGCCCACGGGAGACATGGAGGCTTGGTCTTGAACTGGGGCATGAAGGCAGAGCTCAAAAGAGCTAATCTTTATTAAGCGCTTGCTGCGTGCTAGGCACTTTACATGTCCCCATGACCCCATCCTGCCACGTCCTTAGAAGCTTCCAGTGGCTCCCTGCTGTCTCCAGTATTCAAGGACCCCTGGATCTGACCTGAAGTTGCCTTTTTGGAAATTAAGACATAGTCAACATAACATAAAAGTTAAAGTGTACGTTTCTATAGACTTTTGTATATTCACTAGGTGGCACAGCCATCCTCAGCACACATAATTCCAGGACATAGTCTTTGGTCCAAAAAGAACCCCTACACCTGTTAAAGGTCACTCCCCAGCCCCCCTTCCCCTAGACCCTGACAACCACTAATCTACTCTCCGTCCCTACAGCTGATCCTATTTCGGACACATCACAGAAATGAAATCATACAATACTTGATCTTTTGTATCGGGTTTTTTTCGCTCGGCACAATGTTTTCAAAGCTCCCACGCGGTAGCCTGTATCGTTCGTTTCTGTTGCCGAGCAACGGTCATTGGATGGATGCACATTTGCGTGCCCGCTCATCAGCTGAGGGACGTGGAGCCGCTGCACTCTAACATCCGTGTGCTCCCAGCTCCCTCAGGAGTGGCGGTGCTGCTCTGCATGGCATTTCTGCTTCACTTTTTGAGAAGTTGCCAGGCTGTTTTCCACAGGAGCTGCACCATTTTACCTTCCCACCAACAAGGTGCCAGGGCTCCAGTGTCTCCACATCCTTGCTACCCCTTGTTTGTGTTTTGTTTTTTTTAATGAAATGTATCATAACCATCCTAGCGGATGTGACGTGCTACATCACTGTGGCTTTGATTTGCTACCCTGACTCCAATTTTACCACCCCGTCCCCACGCAATGGGAGCAGCAGGGTACGGGGCCTGGGTACGCGCCAAGCTCTGCTGTCAGACGGACTTGGATAGAATCGAGGCTCACGACCATCGACGGTCACGTGACCTTGGGCACCTTTCTGAACCTCCTAAGTCTCAGTTTTCCCAGCCAGACCTCACAGATACAGTAACACTGTGCCTCCTCCTCACTCAGGGAGAATGAAACAGTGAAGTGCTTGGCTCAGTGCCTGGCCCATAGTTCTCAACAAAATAGTAACTGTTTCTGAGATTTATTATTTTGAAATTTTTCTTTCCTAGCCTCCCATACTGATCGTCAGTAAAACAACCCAGAGCAAGTAGCAAGAGAAGAAAAAAAAATGCAGGGGCTGTCTACAGAATTCGCTCCCAAAGTCCGTGCCATCCCGTGCAAATTACGCTGCTGCTCACCTCCGAGCACTTTCAAAGTCACGCTCTAACCAAGTGACCTCATTTCCACGTGGCACTCTGTGTTTAACGTGGCAGCGTGACATTTAACTGGACTGTCTTTTCATTTAACTAAATGCTACGTACTAACCTACATTCTGTGGGCAGAGATATTATTACCTCCCCTGAAAATGACATATGTCATTTCCCAGCACAGTAATTAGCTCACTTTTTCAAGCTGAGCTAATGACATAAAGGTCTTTACTGAGCTAAGAGATTCTCAAGATTAGTTTTACCAGCCTACGGTTCAACAAAATCACCCACTGCAGGATCATTCTACTGAAGGCCACGCTCAGCTGTCCTCGGGTGTTTACAGAATTTCATTGCTGTTCGCGTCACTGCCTTCTTGTTTGATAAAATCGTCACAGGAAACTAAGGCGAGTTCTGGGGGTAAGCAGACGCACATGCTCTCCGAGCTGGCAAAAGGTGTGCTCGTGGTTCACCGTTCGTTTGCTTTAAAATATGCATCACGTTGCTTTATTTATTGTATGGTTCTAGTCTTTCAAATCCAGCAAAAATTTCATCTCATCCGTGAAGGGCTCCCCAAACTGAACAGGAGATGGCTCCAAGCAAACATCAACACTTGAGCAGGTTTAGCAATAACGTTTCATCACCTTTTAAACATCTCATCCTAAGCCAGGGACTAGGTTTCGTTTTATTTTTATCAGCTGTGGGTCTGATGTTGATTAGCATCTCCAGCAAGTACTCCTTGAGGCTTAATAGCAGGAAGGTCCAACTCTCACCACGATGAAGACAACATTTAGAAATTGAAAGACAGCCCCTCAAAATAAGCTTTGAATAAATACACTTCTGTCGTCCCAGGGCCCATCTTAGAGGCAATCTCATTGACGGAATAGTCACTATTTATACTTGTTATTTCCCAAAAGACCGATTCTTTCAAGACTCAGTGTCCCCACCTCGACCCCAAGCATCTGTCCAGCCCAGGCAGTAGTTGCTGTTAGGGACATACAGCACTTGGGATGCCAACCGCAGGCACGGGGAGGGGGACATTCAAAAGGAATTGGAGCCCAGCCGGGCGTGGCTCAGTGGCTTAGCATTGACCTAGGATCCGAGGCGATCAGGGTTCAATTCCCGGTCAGGGCACTTGCCCACAACCTTGCAGGCTTGATCCCCAGTTGGGGGCGTGCAGGAGGCAGCCGATCAATGACTCTCACCATTGATGTTTCTCTCTCTCTCTCCCTCTCCTTTCCTCTCTCTGAAATCAATAGATATATTTTTTTAAAAAGGAATTGGAAAAAGGAAATGAGCAGGAAATGAGAANAAGCCCACATTGTAAGGCAAGGGGGATGTGAGCAGCCATCGGATTTGCTCCCACCTCCTCTCCACTCACTTTCCCTATGGGCTACCCCCCCCCTACGTTCACGACTCACAAATACAACTTCAGACCCCTGGACA